ATAACGTTGGGGCTAAAACACATCCTTGTTTTAAACCCTCATTCTGTGTAAAATAATCTGTTTCAATATCGCCAAATAATACTTTACTTTCAATATGGTTATATGTATTTTTTTATAATACGCCCTTTACACCATTCTACTATTAAACAGATTTCAATGAAAATCAGTACATATCGGTAGATACTCTAGGATAATACTCTGATAAAATTTTGGTTGAAATTCTGTGCATAATAATTGCCAATTTGCATATTAATTAGCCAATTTTAAACATTTTTACTTGTTTCTCATGTACTATTAAACAGATTTCAATGAAACTTGGTATATAATATATGTTGATTAGTTTTGATTGAAATCATATGCATATTAACTACCTAATTAGCATATTAATTAGGAAATTTTAAGCATTTTCACCGTTTCTTATATACCATTAAATAGATTTCAATAAAACTTACCGGGTAGTAGATAGATGTCCTTGGATAATGTGCAGTACTGATTTGTTTTGGTTTAAATCCTGTGCATATTGATGACCTAGTTTGCATAATAATTAGCCAATTTTAAACATTTTCACTTGGTACATAGACACTGTAGGATAATACTCAGACCTGATAAAATTTCGGTTAAAATTCCATGCGTATTAATTGCCTAATTTGCATATAAATTATCCAATACCTCAACTACTCATCAGATTCAATTGACACATGTAGATAAGCACAAGGGATAAGCCATATACATGTTCGGTTGAGGGTTAAATTTTGTGCTAACTAATTACCTAATTTGCATAAATTAACCATTAAATTAACTTTTAGATAATCCACTGTTGAAATTCATGCATATTAATTACTTATTAGTTTCATGTGTGCTTATTACTATGCATAACTGTAATGTACTAAGTACTATTGCAGATAGGAACATGCAACCAGTGCTATAATTTTGTTGTCTTACGTGGTATATGACCAAAATATAAAGTCATATATGGTCATTATTTTGTTAAATATGTATAATTGTTAAACCAAAGCTACTTGGAACCACCCTAATCAATTTCTACATTAGAAGCACATATGCCTACTGTAAAAATAAAGGACAAAGACAAGTCTGTGGTCAAAATAAGACATATTCTAATGATTGTGCATGCTATAAACACAATTCTTTATGTGTAATGAAGATGTGCTTCTATTATAGTAATGCCTCATGCCTCCGATACCTTCTGCACACAGAAGTTCTTTCTAAGCTTTCTTTGATTCAAATTTATAAATATTTATAAAATCGGAACACTTTTTGTTTTGAGCACAGTCCCTCCACAAGGGAGGGTCTGTGTTTTGAGTAACATACTCAATTTTGTTGACTCCACTGTTTTGAACATCACAATTCTTTTTAAATCAGATGAAGTTTCCAATACTGTAAAATTTATTTTAGCTGCAAATAATTTTCACTAAAAAGACATCTGAGGTGTTTATTTTCACTGATTTTATTTCACTGATGTAAAATATAGTCAAAAATATATATTCTCACTGAAACTTTCCTGCAGCAACAATACTTTACAGTAGATACATCATACAAACAATGGTGCTATTCTATTTAACGGGGGGGGGCTGACTCGATTTAAGCTCATAATTATAATTCTATGTCAAATAATTCATTATGCATGCAAATACCGATTTTCACATTTACGAATGACCTCAAAAAAAAAGTGATTCAGGTATTGTGTAATTTGTATATTCACAACCCTTCAGCATTTATTGTTTTGTAAAGTTTCTATGTATGTATTGCACTTTCCATTGTATGTTGTTATGGCAATAAAGTTGAATTGATCAGAACAATAACAATTATCATCATCATATTAAAAATTATCCATTATGCTTTTTATTTTCTGTTTACAAATGTATCAGTCTTAAAATTGGAGGAGTATACTTACGATGCATTTTTATTCAAAAATCTAAATTATTGCGCCCTCGTGCGGCATGCAATGGAAATGACGAACATCACATGACATCATTATATTTTACAAGGTACAGTGAACTGGCGTTGTAAGCGTGAAATTTGTGAATATCGTCATAAATATCGGGACCAAGCGACCCGATATTGATTGCGTTATTAACCAGACAATCTCATCTGATGACGTAGAGTCTAATTTTGTGCTGGCATGATGGATGACGGTATGGAAACGGTTTATGGTTCGGGCGACGATGGAGCCAGCGGAGTGATGTCAGAACGAGTGTCCAGTTTAGCTTCCTGTGTCTATAGGGAATTTGAGCGCATGATTCGGAAATATGACGAAGATGTCGTCAAAGAGCTGATGCCACTTGTTGTAAACGTATTAGAGTGTCTGGACTCAGCATTTTCGGACAACCAAGAGAACGAGGTCGAGATAGAACTTCTACGAGATGACAACGAACAGCTAATAACTCAGTATGAAAGAGAGAAACAACTCCGAAAACAGGCAGAGCAGGTGAGAATTTTAAATATTATTATTTATATAGCGATAAGATCTCGTATAACTCCAAAGACCAAACAAGTTGAAAACGTGATACACATCTCCAGGAATCAAAACGTAGGGTTAGGGTTTATCGCCAAACTGCTAGGGGCCGTCAGGGTGATCCGTTCGCCAAACCGGAAGTCGAGAATATTCATTTCTCGAAATCAAATTCTGCTGTTATTGAAATAAGGCGAGGTGATTACGTTTGGAATGGGCGTGAACAAGAAGAAATATTGAAAATCATATGCTTACGAAATGGTAGTTATACAAAAGTAACGTTGACATGGAAGATATATGACATCTTAACCTTCCGTGGAGCTAATTTTTCATGTCCCTGTATCAAAAATGAACGAAACAAGATAGCATGTTCAGATAATGTAATTTACATATTAAAAAATCTCCTGTAATATTCATTATATTTAAACAGTAGGTTTTTGGTATCTTTTGGTTGAATAATTCATCAACTCATTTTAATATTTACAGAAAATTGTAAAAAGTCGCCTTGTAACATGAATTGACTACAAAATACATAAAACCGGTATTATTTGATTTTTAGGGAAATATATGGGTTGAAGTTTGAAAAAATATATGAAAAATTACCGACTTAAAAACATCTGAAAAATGATATAACCATAATATTGCTATTTGTTTTTTTTAATTGCGGGATCCAAGTTGTGAGCATCGATCATTGGGTGACGACGATATGTGATATTGTCATTCTCCACTAGGGGTAAATAAATTAGGGGAGATGATGAAGGGAATTTTGAAAGCTGCAGATTTGTCCCGAGTGTACACCAACCACTGTATTAGAGTGACGGCATGCAAAGTCCTTCATTCGACCAGAGTTGAGACAAGGCATATCATGTACAAGGCGAACATCAGATCTTACCCCAACTTTGGAGCTCTCTTTTTTACCTCCGTGCACCAACAAACTTACCTCAGAACAACGACAAAACTTGTCAGGCATACTGTCACAAAACCTTGGTTATACCAAAGATGTATCCAGGTCAGATGTTGGGTCTGAGATGGTTGTGCCGGTCATCGTACAGCTACACCACCACGTCCTGCCATGTCTCAAACTTCGGTAGAACCAAGTACCACTGAACGTCAAATATTCACAGTTACAAGTATCATGATGAGTCAGACATACGGTTTGTTTTCACATCTGTACTTTTAATGGGAAAATTACATTCTGGGCTCTCTCTGGAATTTGCTAGGTAATAGTAAATTTACTAATCAAGAAAAAAAAAGTATTAGTAAACTTTGTCTGGAAACTGCAGAGCATTTTCCCGCTACCGAGCACAACGGGGAAGAGAGAAGGAGAGGAAGCTGTCCCCTCTGTCGTCCGCCGAAAACAAGACCAGCATGCTGAAAATGGTACTTGCTGGTGCAACCTGAGCTTTTGTGTGTAATTTCATGACATCAAATTAGGCAGTCTGCTCCACAAAATGTACCATTTATGATGGTACAACAAAACATCACAACAAAATATGCAATGTAGACACCAGAACCTTTATTTGAATAACTCAGTATTAACATATTCATGATAAGCTCACATTGTTAACAGTGGGGAAAATAGTCATCATTCAAAAGTTCACTAAGTTCACTGCCTAGAACACAAGTCATCCTGTGAATAAATTTTCACGGGAAATTTCTCAGAAAAAAAACTCT